TTTCACGGATAGGCCCATCAGCTTTACTAATATAATGCACCTATCAGACCTGCTTCTTAGGGAAAATATCTGCAAGTGGACAATTCTTATTCTGTTGAGTAAGTTCTGTGATCAGAAATAAATTACAATAGTCAATCATTATTAAAGAGAATAAATACATGAGAAGACATTCCATACCAACTTTGATTTTCAGACTTTGAAAGGGTGGTTTGCCTGAAGTGATGATTTCCAGAAGTTAGATTCTAATTGTGCCCTGACCGTTTTTAATAGTTATAAATACTAGGCCACATGCTAGATGGATTAAATCTTAATCTCAGGAGGTACAGGAAGGTTTGAGTAGATTTTCAAACAAAATTTCTGTAGATTGAAATTGGCTATAAAAATGAATATCCTTCACCAATAATAGCTACATATTATATACTCTTTGTAGATAAACCATGAAACTTATAAATTTTCAGGATTTGATTCTACATTGAGATGAGGCCATAGATAGTCAAGAAAAATAAATCATTTGTCAGTGTCCATGGCCTCTGATTCTGAAACAAACATGTGCACATATACACAGGCTGGAGCTTACGGAGACATAGGGACACCTAAGGAATGTGACAGTAATCGGTTTCAGTATTTTCAAAGCCCCCGAAGTAATTTCCAATGTGCAGAATGAAATATGACATGTGGTGGTCTTTGTTAGAAAAATTGCAAATTTGTTACAGATTTAAAGGGTTGGGAGGATTACTAAACTGGTTACTCTGCCCAAGATGTTCCCTGGCAGAATCAATACCTTGAAATCTGGATTCTGTAAGTGCATGCTAAATGAAGACCTGAGGTGCCTGGCCAAGAAAGAAGGCAGCTTAACCCAGCAGGGCAGAGACACAAATGTGAGCTGTGCTCCAAAATATTACCTGAGTATTTGGCATTCCACAATAAAAAAAGAATAAATGTATGTGCATTAAAATGGATTTTTAAAAGGTTATCTCTGGGATTTCATACTGGACCATGGGTTAGACACAGCAATCTCAAGGCAACACTAAAAATAGTGAGACACGTTAGGAGCAAAGACAACCCTCAGTCAAGACAACAAATACTCCTGGTTCACCAGTGGCATTGAAGAGCGTAATATTTTAGTACACACACGTGTTCTCATATAAGAATTACCTCCGGTAGAACAGTCAACATTACACACTACTGTACCAAGGCAAAAATAAGACCTTAAATGAAAAATAAAATTGTAAAAAAAAAATTGTAAAAAATGATAAAAATGATCAACAATTACACAATCAAAAAGCACTGATGAAAAACTAACACACATTTAAGAACAAAGAAGTAAGAACGGGCTCTTCCCCTCTGGGCTCTTCCCCTCTGGGCTCTTCCCCTCTGGGCTCTTCCCCTCTGGGCTCTTCCCCTCTGGGCTCTTCCCCTCTGGGCTCACTTACTTTGAGCAGTTGTTTCCTTGTGCATCTTCCTTTTTGCTGTCCTTGTTGAAGGCATCCTACTCCAGTTTTCACAGAACACCTTGTTTTGTTGTATTTGTTTCCCCATTGTGCTACTACCACCACCCTCCATAGTAGTCCGTATGCAGGTACTCAGTTCAATTTCCCAATTTTCAGTTACCAGCTTCAGGTGACAGCAGTGAGGCTAAACATGCAACAACTTTTAACAAATTTCAGTTACACTGCAATCCGTTCCTTTTGATTAAAACAGTACAGTCTGTCATTTGTTTCACTTGATAGTATCAGTACTGCTACTTTCTGCATCAGATAAAATACAATAGATTAGACAATATACAGCTATTTGCCCCATTCTTCTCGGGGCAAATACCCATGATGGTTTTTCCAGTTCGTGATCATTGACCTTGCTTGCCTATGAGTCCTTCCTGGATTGGGCAAACACTGAACACATGGTTCTCACCATCCCATTCCTGGGTCTAAGCAGCCCTAGCGGTCTCTGGGGCAGCTAAAAGTGAGTTTTCCCCCACTCGCACCCCAGTATCGTAAACCAACCACCGTTACTCAACAGTTAACAGAGCATTACTCATAGGTGATTTTGGGACTCTACCTTATTTAGGAACCTATTAGCGGTTTATCAACCACTTAAGCCTCCAACTTTGGCACCAAATTTTGCCTGGTCCCTAGTTAACTATTGTGATACAGCTCCTCTGCCCAGCTGCAGAGAACTTCACACAAGGTTCCTTTAAGCCAGCTTCATCACCTCCTGAGTTGTACAAGGAATCCCTTCCATCCCAGGGTCCCCTGAGTCCCCTGGGTTGAGTATCAACCTGCCCAAGTGCCCAGCCTTTGGTAACTGCTAGCTTTAAGCTTGCATCTGCACTGGGCCAGCAGCTGGTTCAGATGAGTGGAGGTCCTCTTCAGTCCCCACTGACTGCTGCCTCAGGGTTCGGCTGTTCCTTGCAGGGCATCTCCTCCTCCATACAAGGTCTTTTCCTTTCCCAGACCTGTCCATCTCCCATCTCCTGAGCAGGTAACCCCTGTGCTGCTTTGGCTTCTCCAGCGTTGTCCCGGCCTCCATTTGCAGAGCTGTGGGAGAACACTCACCCAAGCCCTGCCACAGAGCAGGCACCGTGTCAGTCCAAAGCCTTCCCTCCCTCCGCTACACCTGCACCAGCAATTTGGGAGGAGTCCTGAGAGGAGGCCAGCCAGAGAACACTACATACTTGCGGCTGCCACCTCTCATCCCCCCTGAAGTCTTTGGAGGGCTCCATACTCATCTGCGTAGCATCATCCTGCAAAACTGTGGAGAACTATTGCAGGCAGGCAGTAGGGCAGAGAAGGCAAAAGGGATTTTGCCTTTGGAGGGCTGTGATTCTTAAAGCCCTCTGTGGCTTTTTCAGGTGTTTAAAGATCTTTCTACAGCATTTTGTAGTGAGCTAACCAGGCCTCCAGGCAGGCAGAAGATCAGGGGGACAAGCAGTTGGGGAAGCCTCCTTACCCGTGGCGAATCTTCCTGCCCTCTGGGCTTCTGCGCTGCTCTCCACCTCCATCCTCTGCCGAGCTTCGCCCTCTATGATGCGTCCCTTATATCCTCAGCCTCCTGGCTCAGGTTTGCCCACTCATGCAAGCCCACAGCCTCCTCCAGGTTCCTGCCATCAGGCCTGAATACCCCAGCCCGCACTCCCAAGTGCCTCTGGCATTCAAGGCTGCAGGTGATAGTCACAGAGGCCAATGGCAGAAAAGCCTGCGCAATCTTCATTTACTCTACAACAACATAGTTATTTCTCAGTCCAAGATCAATGTGCTAGCTTATTTGGTACTTGGTAAGAGCCTCCTTTCTGGTTCTCAGACAGCATCTTTTTGCTCTGTCTCACATGGTGAAGAGACTAGGTAATTTTCTCTACCACTTTTACTGGGGCACTAATCTCATGCATGGGGGCTGCACACTCACAACCTGATCTCCTCCAGAAGGTCCCACCTCCCAAAACAATCATACTGGGGGCAGGATCTCAACCATAGCCTTGCCTTTAGCCAACCTAATCAGAGACTCCTGTGGTGGGGCACAGCAATATGATCAGCAAGACCTCCAAGTGATGCTGATAAACACTAAATTTAGAGCAATATATTACAACACTTTATTCCCCACGGATGTCACAAGATGAAGCTGTCGCTGTGTTAATTATATAGAGGCATAGGTTTGAGCTAAGCTAATTTGTCTTCCCTCCAAGAAGATGAAAATAAAAAATAAAGTTTAGCTTTGTAGTAAGCAAAAACATGGGGTTATAATTTAGGAAATGCAATGAAACCAAGCTGCCTGTGGTTTAATGTGTGAGAAAAATATTTCAGCAACTTTGGAATTACCTCCAGATTATGGCTTTAATGAATGAATGTCTTGTGATGTAAATAATGAAGTAATGCCATAAATGTAACACCGCCACCAATGGCAGAGGATGGAGAGGATTCCAGGACCCCACCATTGTAAATCTTCCCATTATCAAGGGTTGCAACTGCTCACATACCAGTTCCTGGTTATCTGACTACAGAATGAGGCCAGGCCTATTTATAGTAGCAGTGAGAATAAAAACAATAATAAAAAACCAACTCCATATCTTTCATCATCTTTTTTATTTAACATACATAGTACATAAAATTCATAAAAATACAATACTCCTATGCAATATTACTTTGTTCCTGATACACCCTTCCATGTTCTTAAGTATTATTGCCCTATTTTAATACTACTTTTTTCTCCAAGCCTTTTTAGAAGCTTCTCTTGTTATAGAAATACTGCCCCAAATTTGTTTTTTCTGTCATAGCAACAGCCCTGTTCTTCATCTCCTTGCCCATCCTCACATTAAAGCAAAAATACTTTTAAGTGCATAAAATGCTGAATTTTAATACTGCTTTGTCATGTATCACAAACCCACTACTATTTATGTTGCCATTAAAGATATTTATAATCTACAGCACCAGCTGCTACCAGATGTGACCAAAGCTGAGTGTGTAGTAAAGCCCAAAGGCCTCAGTTCTAAACTGACCAACCTACAACCTAATTATAGCTTGCTGGTGGAGTTACATTAATAAATACAATCTGACTTTCAAATTTTCCTGAAATATGAAACAATTATAAGATCATTTTACCATCCCTCCCATACAAATTCTCAATTACATGTAGACTTATCAGGACAGGAATTATTGAAGGTTAGACAGAATAGAGGATGATTTTTTTAAAAAATGTAACCTCTGGATGTACAAATCAGTCACGGGTGGGTGAGAAAAAAACCACAGACAGAGCAGAGCACGTGTCCCCTTCCCCTCTGCGACCCTTAATCCTTCCTAAGCGCCTCTTCCCATTATCCTGGATTCTACCATGACCCACACTATCCAGCTGCTTCGGATTTTCTGAAACTGGCATAAAAAGCAGGGCGGGCAAGCAAGGAGGAGGAGGACAGGAACCGGAAGACACACACAGTTCCTCAGGGTGACCCTGGAAAGGAGGCCCGGGGGAGCAGGCTCTGGGCGAGGAGCATTGCCATGCTGTCTCGGCATGCTGTCTCGGCAGCGTCTGCTCTTGGCAGCTCGTGCTTCCCCCAGACCAGGCTTGTCCTTAGGCTCTGGTGAGAAGGCAGGAAGAGAACAGCTCTTCAGAGGCTCCCAGGGGTGGGCACCGGAAACCATCCCTGAGGGCTCAGGTCTCAAGGACAATCCACAAGGAGGTTAATCTGCCTGCGGTTAACAAAGAGAACACTGTATAATTAAATGGGTAGTCGGCCAGAGTAATGGTTTGCTTAGAATTTAAAATCTTAATAAGGCATTCCTCAAAAATATATAGAGTCACTGTTTCAAAGAACCTTATTTTTAACAAATTCACTTCTAAGAAACAAAAATCCATACTAGGAATTCAAAACAGCCTTGTGTAATTTTCAAAATAAAAATAAATAGGGAGGAAAAAATAAAAGGAAAGACTCAATCTATTCAACCCTCATAAAGAAATAATTGCTTTTGGAAACAAAATAATAGTGCAAGATTTAATTAAGGCTTAGTCTTATTAAAAGACAGGTCATTTTAAAAGTAAAATATAAAAACTACACATATTTATCATTATTCATTTACTTTTCTGTCAATTAGTCATGTTTTATCCTATCTTAACAGAAAAAGAAAACTTAGCACACACTATAGAATCTACTGTCCCACTGTAAGTTAAGACTACTCAAATATACATTACTTTCTGGATGTTTTTCAAAATAGCTTTTCTTAAAACTAAAACTAAACATGAAAAAATGTAATGTTTAAAGGTATTAAAATATCAACATTTGAATAATACTAAAAATGAGAAAAATATACAGTTGCTATTAAATTTTCTTAAACCAAGAATAAGGGTTTGACAAGCAAGTACATGAGGAAATATCACTTATTTGACAGAGAATGGTGGGAGGAGAGGAACAGCAAGGAGGAGAAACTCTAATGCCTTCTGGTTGGTAAAGGAACAAGGTCCTGAGGGCCCAAGAGTTTGGATTAATACAGGGCACGAAGTAACAAGAGCAACAGAGAACAAAGGAACATGAAGTCAGGTACAGATAATTCGGTATAGCAAATACCCATTTCTGCCCACCTAGTCTTACTGGTCACTGACAGGGGCTGACATGATCGAGGGTTTACAATCACCACCCATGTCCAAAAGACAAGGGCAAGAGGCAGAGGGAGCAGCAGGGCAGTCAGCGGCCCCCACAAAACCTCAGGATACACTCTCTTCGTCTCACCTTTGTCATCAGGATTTTTTATACAGGTACCTTTGCTCACCTTAGCACACATATTTGAGTCAAGTACGAGCATATACTCATTTGCATAGCAAATTTTAAGGGCACATCGAAATAGGAACCAACTGATAAAAGTATAAGGACTTTTACGATCGACATGACATTCCACTGGCAAGATGACACGTTTTCTATTTGAAAACAGCTACCTATAAAAGATTTGGGATTTGAATTAAAAACAACGCATAACTTATATTAGCAAAACATTAAAACCATTACTGATGTCACTGATGTTGTTCTTCAGGCAGCAGTCAGTCATTCTTCGATGACTTCTAAGACTTTGTAAACACTGTTCTGGAATACAGTGGTGAAGTGAGGCTTGGACTCCTTCACCAAGAGGTTACACAGGGGAGGCTTCCCAGCATTAGCAGGGTCTTCCACATCCCAAATTTCAGGCATACTGCAACCAGGCCTAGAGAAGTTAATGTGCCAGAAAAACAAATGTATTATGTAATGGCAGATAGGGAGCACACTTTATATTCATGCCTTCATTTCACTTTTTATTTTTAAAGATCTATTTATTTATGCTTACAGAACTCAGGCACAGGCCAGAGGTGTGGTGGGTGAGAGGATTCCCCAGAGACAGAGTGGGGAGCAGAACAGGCAGATCTACTGAAGTACACTGCTGATGGGAGCATCAGGCAGGTCAGGAGAGGTCTGCCACGCCATGTGGGTCAGCTCCCTGCCGACTGAACTCGTGTTGCAGAGGCTTCAGAGAGTTTCATAATGTGGTGCTTTAATACGCTGCAACACCAGGAAGAGCCCTCATTTCCCTTTTTAATTTTTTTTTTAAATCCTATCGTAATTGCTTATATTTGTGTGAGCCGCCATAAATCTTCACAGAAAGATAAATGCAGCAAAGGTTACTAGAAAGAAATATATGTACCAGATACACGGATTCAAGTGGTGTGACAGGAGAGCCCTGCCTGAACTACTATTGAGTCTATGGCTATGGACAGGTTAGTCGGCCTCAGTCTCCACACTGGACAGCAGACAACTGTGCCAGCTGTGCCGCAGGGACTGTGAGACCGCACCGTGTGCATGCCACACGCAGACAGGGGCTGTTACATTGATTTTAAAAATAGTAACTGGCAAATACACTGAGCTCACGTTTATGCACTTCACATTCATTGTATTTTAGTCTGAGACAATTTAAAGAAAAATCTTTGGTAGTGTTAAATGCACATATTAACTACATGCACAATCAAATATTTATAAAAATCATCAACTTTATATAAAACATGGGGCAAATGAACTCAGTGTTTTATGATACTTGCCCAGATAAGCTCAAGACAATTCTGACATTTATTTTAAGTAAAGGATAGTTTTGTGGCTATAACTGTTCACCATTTTCATGTGATTTTTGAGAAAATTTTAAAAAATAATAGGAAGGGCCCTCCCTGGTGGTGCAGCAGGTTAAAGCACAGCTCTGAGAGGCTAAAGCCACTTCAGCATGAGTTCGATCCCCATCCCGGAGATGACCCACATGGCACGGCAGACCTCTCCGGACCTGCCCGCTGTTCTCCTCAGCAGTGTACTTCGTCAGTCAGCCTGTTCTGCTCCCCACCCTGTCTCTGATGAATCCTCTCGCCACCCCTGCACCTCTGGCCTGTACCCCAGTTCTGTATACACAAATAAATAAATCTTTAAAACAAATTGGAAAGATTACAGAGAAGTGAAAACTGTTCATGTTTTATCATACTTGCTTCATTTTTTATGGGGAAAAAATGTAGTTCTGCCATACCCTGATGGCAGGCCCATTTCCTTGCTCTCCACTATATGAGGCTAGGCCCACATAGGGATGTACCTGCTTTTCCTCCTCACTAACATCTGGTGAAGGTAAGCCATCATTCTATAAGTGTTAAGATTTAGAGCTATACAGGGCCCTCCCTGGTGGTATAAGGGGTTAAAGCACAGCACTGCAAGCTGGCTGCAGCCACATCAGTGCGAGTTTGATCCCTGGCCCTGGAGGTGATCCACATGGCGTGGCAAACCTCTCCAGACCCACCAGCTGCTCCCCTGAGCAGTGTACTTTGCCAGTCTGCCTGTTCTGCTCCCCACTCTGTCTCTGGTGAATCCTATCACTGCCCCTCTGTCTCTGGTGAATCCTATCACTGCCCCTGAACCCCAGTTCTGTATGCATCAATAAATAAATCTTTAAAAATAATTAAAGACCTACACAAGTTACTGTCACCTCCACTGGTATTTCTCAGAGGTGACATCTGTAAACATTCTAGCACATAAGGCGTTTAATCATGTTCATACAGATTATACTAGTAAAGGCATCAACATATTAAAATACATGGGTTTTTATTTTCATACAAAATGAAATTACTTAATAAAATGTGGCCATTTTTCCATCTTAGTACTTAAAGATCTACTTTATTTTTTGTAATAGTTTCTATTATACACACACACACAACTATATATGTATGTATTTTAACTTCTGCATTATGGATAGATATCTTAATTGCTCCCCATTTGCTTCTATAGTACAGTGCTGCTAGAAATACTTGTTGGACCTTTACCTTTTGGAAAGGTAAACTTCTAAAAGTAGCATAGCACCATGTCTAAGAAAACATAATTTTTACTTTGCTTCTATCAAATTACCTCCCAAAAAAGTGTTCCTAATGATTGTGCCCATGAAAAGTTTTGCATATTTGTTTCACTAGATTCTACCAGCATACATGTGGGGAGAGGACCAGGCTTGGCTTTTCTGCCATTTAATTCTCTCACACACATCAAGGTCACATGATTGCAACACCACAGTCCAACAGGCGTAAGAATGAAGCACACAGGAAAAGAAAAATGCTCATCTCGGGTTGCAGGTGCTTTTCAGAAAAGACAGAAACAGCTGCCTTTGTAAGCGCTACATAGGACATTCTTTAGTCTTATCTGTTTCCTGAAGCTTCCCAGGCCAGATAGCTACCACTTTAAATAGCATTAGTGAAAATCTAAAGAGTTTCCTTCTGACTTCATTTATTTTAATTTTATGTCAACTCTATTATTGGAATTAATGAGAAAGAAAGCAGAGAACTGAGAATAAAAGAGCAGTTAATTAAAAACTCATTTACAACTTGCATTTCAGTGTATTTCAGTACTTGTATTTGAACACAGGGTGTCAAGTACTTAAGGAACAATCAAACCACACAATTAAGCCACATGTAAATGAGATCACATCAACATAGTGCTGACCAATGAGTCAGGTACAGGAAAGACTAGAGAAACCTTTGTCCCTCTCCCTTTTTAATTCTGGTTTGCTCCCCACTGCTTCCTGTGCTGACATGTTTTCCTGTTCCAATAACCTGTAGGTGTCTCAGGCTGGCAGAACTGCATTGAGGAGTGAGGGCCAAGCTGATAAAGACCCCCAATGGGGGAAGAAACACCTGCTAAAAAAAATCAATTCTTCTCATAGCAAATGTCAGCACTAACTATTGGTCTTTCTTCCCTTTCCTCTCCCAGTTGAGTTTCCCAATTTGGTCCCCTGACGGATCAGAGAGCAGTTTGTGCTGTGTCAAGATTTAAGCAGAGAGCACCTGTCTCAGGTTTCCTGAGAACTGTAATCTGTCTAATTTCAATCTTACAGTAGATGGAGAGTGTTTTTCTATTCGCTGGGTGGGGGAAACAGATGAGAGAAATCACTTCCTCAGCTTCCTCCCTCACCATTTCTACTGGAACAAACACAACCAGGAAGACCAAGGGAAAGGTGGGGAGTCCAGGGCACAGCTCACTGTCCCCTAATTATTAATGGCTGTCCAAGTATGCCACATGAAGCTGACTGGAAGACAGTTATTTCACAAGATTTATTGCTATGTTTCCTAAATGTGTCTTCTCATCCCTTCTGGTGTACAAAAAACATACTCAACCCATTAGAACATGAAACTTGTAGCTACAGTTATGCAAAGCTAAGAAGTGTGATCAACACGTTAGTACACAAAGCACACCAGTCCCTGTAATTTTCATGTTTCCAAAACACTATCCAAGGGGCTAGGAGAAAGTGAAGAAGTTTGAATAAAGGCTAATTGTTACAGTTTGTGGGGAAAGGGTCATGAAAGAAGATTTTTCTGTTTGATCACAGGTGTCTCAGGCTGGCATAACCACCCTGGAGTGTAATGCCCAAGGCAATAAAGAAGATCCAGTGTTGGTAGAAAACTGGCAGGAAGCTGAGCTCTTCCCAGCACAAAATTCGCCACAGCATTCATTTCTCACACTGTCTTCATAAAACTGTTATGAGAGATGCTTAGGACTTTTTAAATATATTTTATATAACAAATTAACTAAAGGTGAGCATGTGAATTTCACATATATTCCTATGTTCATAAGGACCTTTCTAAATTACAGTCATGAGAATAACCTTTCCTCATTAAAGTCAGCTGGCAGATAGCATAGGAAATCATTCCATAATCAATAATCATCTCAATTTCCCTGTGGCTAACACTGTATGGTTACTGAATCACAGTACAATTTTCACTCCAGAGTTTTAACTAACCTTTGTGTATCATTGAAAGACTATGATAAAGCCACGCACACAGCAGTCTCCTGGAGGCTTCCATTAAAGAGCAGTGAAACTCTTAAAATTAACGCCATCCTATAAACAATCCTTGATTTCTGATGAGATGGCTCTGTCTGTTCTCCTGGCAAAGCAAATCCCTTTGGTGTTTCAATAGGAAACCACTGTCATCCAGGTACACATTTCTGCATGGCTAACTTTAGAATTCACATTTGCTTTCAAGATCCTACCTATTATTGTAGCTGCACTCTGTTTAGTGTACTCTGTGGAGATACTTTTTAAACTATAAACTCAAGAGAATGTGGATCACATTAAAGTTAATTATTTTCCCATTCAAGTAAGACGTGAACCAGCAAGAAGGAAGTTTCCTTCTAATTTGATGCTGAGAGGGGGGTCCCAAATATACAAGATATGATGTGGTACAGAATAGCTTAGACTATTCTTAGAATGTCTTAGAAATGCCTGACTCCCTCTCAGCTGTCAACTGATTCCATTACGACTCTCTCCTCCGTTTATTTCATTATCAAGCCCTGCAAGTCTTTTGAAAGAAAATATACCCAATTTTAAATACCAGTTTTTTAACATGTCAAAAGTAAATGTGAACTTTTGGAAACATTATATGCACCAATATGGTATGTGTAAGATAGTACGAACATACAGATCATTCTAAAGAAACAAATATTCATCAACAAATAACCAGGACAGAAAAAAAAACCACTCCAATTTAGACAATTATCTAAAGCACTTGTCCATGTACATTTCACTAAGTGTTATATGCATCTTGCAATAGACTGTTAAAGCATTGGCCCAAGACTGAATTTATGAGTATAAATATACTCAATTTATGAGTATAAAATATTAAACATGTGGAATACTCACTTGGATCTTCTTATACACCATGACTCTTCTAGAATGTAATAATTCACTTGCAACTTTATTAATTCTCGCTTCACTTCTTCAGCTGCTTTTCGACTATACATTGAGTATACTATTTTTGTTCGGGCTCTTTAAAGAAAAACAATTGGCAGATTTTGAAGATTAAAGGATGTGATCAACCTATTTGGAAGAAAGCACTGAATGGGACTAGAAGAAAGACTACAGAGAGGAATCCAGTCATGAGGACATTCTTCACAACAGTTCCTGCTGGGGGTGGGTAGTGGAATAGGGGAGTCAAAGGGAAAAGGCAGAAGGACCCAGGAGTGTTGGGAGGAGAGGCGTGGTTTAATGCAGGCCTTCATGTCCAAACCTGCTCTCTTTTTCTGTTTGCTTGTGCTTTATTCTTCATCACGCTCCCTCAAACGAGAGTAAGGCACCCTGTATGTGGGTGGGGTGAACTACACAGCACAGCCACAGGACTTTTTTAAAGCCACAAAAGTCCCAGCTTTGAGTTCAACAATAACTATATTAAGAAAATGAAAAAAGCCTAAACTATTCAACAAAAATGCTCTGGAAAATTAGCCTGCTGGCACTTATTTTTTAAATGAAAAACATTCTGATATATAAAATACTTGCCCTACTATTACACAAAAGAATGTATTAATAGGATTCACCCAATACCTTGGAATACAAATAGTTTGACCAGTCCTGGAAGTTGCATGAAAATTAGATCTATTTCCTTTACTTAGAAAACACAAGACTATGCTGTGAAAAAGTCAAAAAACAAAACACAAGATCATTCTAACTGATTATTTGGGTGAAAACCAGAATAAAACTCTTTTAATTGGATTCCATATCAACTTATTCTTCAGAATTCAAGGAAAACAGCCTATAAGAAAACCCCAATAAAAACCACAAACCAACGAGCCCTCCAGAGCATGTCAGGCCCCGACTACTCATAATATCTCTGGGTGTTTTGGGGTCACATTAACCTGTAGAAAACTGATAAGGGATGATTTCTTTGTACTGCCTTGGTAGAGAAGAAAACCCAAAAGTCATACCCTAGAGAGTCCCAATAATTTTCATCTAACTTAGTAGTCTTATTCCAGCATATTCCTCTCCCCTAATCTACAGTTCACCATATCCTTTTAAAAATACTTCTCACAATTTTTCTGGTTCTCTCACTCACTACCTATTTGTATAAGAAACTTCTTTTCAACAATGTGACAACTGAGTACTAACCTCAAACCTGCATCTTCATAATGCGGATGGTTCACGATGGGTCGAAGAGCAGAGAGTTTCACACTCGCCATGGTGGGCATGGCTCCCGCGAACACTGCATCTGCCAAGCAAGAGACACAGTCATTGTGTTAGTGAGGTCTCCTCTTAGTCAACTCAAGTATTTCCCAGATGGAAAAACCTGAGCCCAGAGTGTTTCAAGATTTAAAAGGCTAATGGCAGGACCTGCATGAAGCTGGCAGGCTGATAAAGTGGTAGTCAGCTACAGCCAGAACCAGGTAAATAATTTCCCCTAAAGACAGTCTCATCTCACATTAAAGATTTTTGGATGTTGGTATTTATTTTTAAAGATTTATTTATTGATGCGCACAGAACTGGGGTTCAGGCCAGAGGTGCAGGGGTGGTGAGAGAATTTGCCATAGTCAGAGTGGGGTGTAGAACAGGCAGATCCACGAAGTACACTTCTGAGGAAGCAGCAGGCGTGTCAGGAGAGGTCTGCCACGCCATGTGGGTCACCTCCGGGACAGGGATAGAACTCATGCTGAAGTGGCTTTAGTTTCTTAGTGCTGTGCTTTAACCTGCTGTGCCACCAGAGAGGGCCCAATGTTGGTATTTTTAATAGCCTAAAAATCTTTCTTAATTGTAGGACAAGATGTGCCAAATTTGACCGGGAAAGTTTCATAGCACAAGGAATTTTGGAGGATAACTCATGATTCATTCAGCCAGTGATAACACAATCTCCCTTACTGCAAATGAATAAATATCACATGAGTTTGAGTTCATTTTCAGAAGGGAGGTGAAGGACTAAGATTAAAACGTCATTAAGGAAATAAGCATAACAAAATAAATGTGGTATGTAAAACTGGGTAAAAATTTTAAAAAATTAGAACTTATGGAAAACAAAGTAAATTATTAACAAAATATGTACAACATCTTCTTTGCAAACAAAGGAGATTTGAGTAAGACTGACATCTCACTTTTTGCCAGTTAATTGAGTAGTCCTGCTTAGAAAGAATAAGAATAGAAGTAACTTGAGTTTAAGATTTTGCAGTGGTATATAATATTGAAAGCTAAATTATATGAGTTTTTTTTTTTTTACCTGGTT